GCGAAACGGGCGAGGGCCAAGAAGAGGTTCTGCTACAGCCACCGTTGTCACTGGTCCGGAGAGCAGTGGAGAGAGGGGCTAGGTCGCGACCCGCACGGCGGAGGGTTAGCGTGCACCCCGCTCGACTGAGAGCGGACTGGGCAGGATTACGCGAACGACTGCGAGCTCGACGATGGTGACTTTCCCTTCTTGCCCTCTGATGCTGATCTACAAGCAAGAGTGCAGAAGGGTCTCTGGGCCATGGAATCATTCTGCAGACAGGCCAACAAAAAAAACGACGTGCATATCCTGAATGGGGGCTCCCAGTGGAAATGGCGCGGATGCTGATTGAGCCAAATATATATCTGCCTGGGACGACTGAGCAAACAAAAAGACTACAAACAAAAAAGACTAGAAGCTAAGCGGATCAGAGAAGCTGGGGAAGAAGAGGATGAGGAGGAGCCCGAGAAGCACAGCCCGCACTCCTCCTAGCCAAAGGGCGAAAGCTTCTCCAGAAGTTAGGTTGGAACCCAGGTGAAACAGTAGGAGCACGCCAGCGCGCTGCAGGCGAACCAGCACAAGAAATTACAGTTGATTCCCAATGGCAGTTTGGCAGAACGGAACTATCGGGAGTTGGAATGCCTCTATTTAGAGTTTGAGAGTACGAGGCACCGAAGATGCTGCTGAAGTTTGTGGAGCACTTCAGACAATGCCAGACGATGCCACTGGACATGTTACGACCGCACAGTTCTGCAGCGGAGAAAGCGAATAAACATATAGGTGTTGCGGGGGGGCGCATCATGCATGCACGCTGCGCAGCTAGCATGGCATGGCGCAGCGGGATCAACCGAAGAGCGTCGCCTATTGTTCGACCCCACTTTGCGCACGGAGGGCTAGCGCATCTGTCGCGTGTGCGAACAGGCAGGGAGATCGTTAACCATGAGCAATTTTGGCTGCACAAACGCATTCGCTTCGACCGACAGAGCGCTACGTCGTGGACAGATCGGCTGCACCGCCGTAGAGTGTGACCTCCCGTGCGCCTACGGAGCGCTGGAGCACGCAGCTCTGCCCCTACAGGCAGCCGACGGAAGAGTTGACCTGAAATGCAACAAAGGGGCCCACATGGGCTTCACGCTGGCCCCGCGTGACTTTAACGATAGCTACAATCCAATCGTCACAGGCTGGCTAGAGGGGGAGAAAGAACCGGAAGGACAGCCGGTGGATGATACCCAGCACCCCATAAATGAGCGGCACTGCGACTTGAGCACTAGCACCTTCGTGGACGATCTCACTAAGATTACGACACTGCTTATCGCAGCAAGAAAAGAAGAAGCGGTGGAGCAGGTCAACCTGGCAAGCGGTAGACTCGAGAAGGCACTAACAGCAGGAAGCTGGCGCCTCAACCCTGGCAAGGCAAACCGCCTTCTATTTTTAAGAGGTGGGCGAAGCTATCAATGCACGCGGGCACTGAGGAAGCAGACGAGTGGACTCAGGGGAGAGGCCTTGCGAGAGACGAGGGCGCTAGGGCCCTACGCGCCGTCGGACCAGGGACTGGGAAGCGAGATAAGGAGACGCTGCGATGCGGCAAGAGCAGCATGGAGGCAGTGTAGCACGTTCTGGCCGTCCAAGACTTCGAAGGCAATCAAGCGTAGCGTGTTTATGGCTGTTACCGTGGGTGCAGCATTGAGCGGGTCATCATGCTTTGTCATAAGTCAGAAGTACACGGATGCGATCGACACTACCCTGCGCGAGCTACTCAGGTACTTGTCGAAGGGGGGAGAACTGTTGGACAGGCGAGCAGGGAAGGAAGAGGACGACGACATTGGAGGAGGTGTTCAGGGATTGGAGGATCAACAGGAGCGCAGACGAGCTGAGAGTCAGAAGACTAAAGTGGTATCAGCGCTGGTCGCAATTCCCGAACGATCATGAAGCAGTCATAGCAGCAACATTCGGCGCGCCCAAGAGTGACCAGATCATAGGGGCGAAGCGCATCACAGAGCACAAGAACATTAGACAGCCCACACCTTTGGCCAAGCAGCGTCTCGAGGACATGCGTTACTTAGCTAACCATGACGAAGAATTCAAAGAATGGCACGGTAAAAGGTCGAGCGACACGCGTTTATTTACAGAGGGATCGGACGAACAAGAGAAATGGCTTAAGACGGACCCTTCAGTGTTGAACAGCGTTGCTAGAGAATGGAAACATAGTAGACCACAGCCAGTATCTACATAACCAGAAACTGGATAAAAAGATTTTGTGATTTCAGGAGTGTAAACTCGGAGGGGGCAGATGTAGTGTGCGGATGTAGATTTCGGGCAGCAGCGGCTCTGGCAGCACGCAGGAGAGCACAGCATAAGATAGAGCCGATCATCCCTAAGCTTGTGATCACGAATCAATGCCCGTGGTGCAGATCGAATTTTTCCAGTAAGAGAGCAGGGGCAGATCGCGCAGCAAGAGCGGCAGAGGGGACGGGCATCTGTTACATTGCTTTCTCGAAATGGGGACACAAGCCGATGGAAGTAAGCGAGAGCGAGTCGATCTGCAGTGGTTGCCAGTATCAAGCCAGCAGGGTCGACGATTTCCAGTCACACGCCACTGGCCACCATCCTGGACCTCACACAGTACGATTTGGCAGAGATGAGGATGTCTTGGGCGTCGGCGAAGAAGAAGAGGGCGGCGGAAGGGACAGGCGGGGCAGACAGCAGCAGCGGGGGCCGGCAGCTATCTGGGAAAGGAGGAGGTGGCAGGGGGCACAAGCAAGTGAGAGCAGACAACGTCGCCGCAGCCCCCGAACTCCAGCAAGCCTTGGTCACTGCCCAGAAGTTAACCCTCCGCGTAGCAGCAGAGCAGAGAGACATGGCCAACATATGCACCGAGTTCTGAATCCTTCCACGCACAGCCTCGATCGTTCGAGAAGGTATCGAGGCTGGTCAGGGCAAGGGACACAAGCTGCCCCCCCCCCCCCGCGCACATAGCGGCCGGGGTGATTTGGGCGATGCGCGACGCGTTCGGGGACGATGGGGGCCGAGGGAGAAGCCAAGAAAGTACTCGCGTCGTGGATGGAAGCAGCAGGACCAGAGGAGTACGGGAAAGCATACGTGGACGAGTTGTTTCAGGGTGTTCCGACTGCGGGAGTGTTACAGCCCAGACGGAGCGCCAGAGCAGGAGCGCAAGGCAAAACTTCAGTATTCGCTCAACATGAGCCCCGGCCTCAGGACGGTGCTCCACCTGGCCACGGGACCCCCAGCTCAAGTTCCCACGGTAGACATGAGGGCCTTCCAGAGCGCCTTCACCTTGGGGTTGACCAAAGCGGGGGATACCAAGCCGACGGGAGCGGGACCCAGGACGGGGTCGGAGAGGACAGTGGAGCGCCAGCTGAGGAATTTCCAGAGAGCGTGATGCAGCACGCGCGCGTGTTGGCCCGTGATCCTCGTAAGCTCGCGAGTCTCTACAAGATGCGGGACAACAGGGTGCAGAGAGTCGGGCAGCTAGCCAGAGCAGTAGAATTCGTTAGGCGTCAGATGTCCCAACAGTTGCAATATACGTATCTAAGTGGACAATATGTTTTACTGAGGACGCACAAGCACAACACGAATGGGGAGAGAAGATGTATTTTTTGTCGAGAGTAGCCGTCTCTATCGAGCTGCAGGGGGACTTGCACTGCGCAGATTGCCAGCACATCTGTATTGCTTGTACTGCTTGGACGCCATGGCGTCTGGACCAGCGCGCTCCACGGGGACAGCTGCCACGGCGGGGACGGCGCCGATTGCAGCTACGGGAGCGAACGCAGTGACTGTCCCACAGCCGCCGAGCGTGAGCCCACCAGGGCCGATTCGCTCGAAGGCAGCACCGACCCGCAGGAACCGGACTGACCAGGGGAGGGCGCAGTCGGCACAGCAGGCCCATCTTACGACGAGCCGCCTGCTGCGTGAGCATTACTCTACGATTCTTGGCCAGTGCAGCCTCCTGAACAGCCAGCTCAGCCGCCTCCAGCTCCAGAGGGATAATATTATGACCCCAGTCGTGAATGATACGCAGCTCGAGGCTGACTGCATCACCACGCGTCGCAACATCGACAGCCATATACACGACTTGCATGATGAGCTAGACCGTCTGCATGACTGTATACGTGTGCTTGATGAATCTCACATGGGAGTGCAGCGTTTCGACTGGGAGATCTCGAGGCCGAGTGGGAGCAGCGAGCGGGAGGAGGGGCAGTAGCTGGCGCAGCTCGTGTCGTCCCCCCCCCTCCTCCAGAGAGCTTGCTGCTGCTGCTTGCCTCCCCCGCCACTCCGAATGGGCTGCCCCCCCCCCCCGACCTGCACGGGCTGTTGTTCGGCCTGCAGAGCACGGAGTACGTGAGGCAGGGCCGCCCACGGATCCGCGTTGGGGATGGCAGGGTCGGCCCCTCCTTCCTCCACCTCTTTCCCCGATTTTTTTAGACTCCCAGGCCTCGTGAGGCCAGAGATCCAGCAGTGTTAGGTGCGTGGCTCGCCCTGAAAGGGTAACCATGCACCTCCCGAGTTTGAGGTTTAAAATGCGACGGGATGCCTCTGCCGACGCGGCAGCGCTTGCAGCGAGAGGCTGCGGCGTCCGCCGTAGGCGGCAGTGGAGGGACAGGCACACGTCCCATCCTTGATTCCTTCCATTTCTTTCCTAGGGGCCCGATGCGATGCGAGCGAATCGGACAGGGCCCCCAACGGCTCCACCACCACCACCACCACCTCCCCCTCCTCCTCCTCCTCCTCCTCCTCCTCCTCCTCCTCCTCCTCCTCCTCCTCCCTCTCCTCCTCCCCACCTCTCCAGCTCTCCTCCCTCCATCCCCCCCTCCTCCTCCTCCTCCTCCTCTCCTCCTCCTCCTCCTCCTCCTCCTCCTCCTCCTCCTTCCTCCTCCTCCTCCTCCTCCTCCTCCCAGGATGGCCTCCTCTCCCCCCTTCGCTCAGGACGACCTCCTCTCTCCCTCCCTCCATCCTCTCCCTCCCTCCCTCCTCTCCCCCCTCCTCCTCTCCCCCTTTTTCAGGAGTGCCCCTCGCAGGGGGGGCGGCCGCTGCCCGTCTGCCTGGCAGGCCCCCGCGGGCGCGCCCGGGGCAGGGAGGGGAGGGGGCAGGAGGGAAAAGGGAAGGGGAGAGGGAGGAGGCAAGCCTGGTGCGCTCCCAGACCTCCCCGCACTGCGACAAAAATCACGACCGGGGAGCCTCCCCGGGCCCCAGGCCCGACGAAAAACGACTCAGGACGACGTCGGGGATCTGGGCTCGCGCTTCATCTGGCATCCTACCCCTCCCTCTATCCGCGGATGCGTATCATAGCCGACCTAGAACTACACACACACACACACAAGAAAAACATCGTGTGATGCGCAATCGGAAAAGGGGATCTGCGTGCACAGGAGGAGGTGGCGGGCGAGCGGGAGGACGAGCAGGAAGAAAAGGAGGATGGGTAAGGAGGAGGAGGACGAGGAAGAGCAGCAGAAGTAGCAAGAATTGGAGTGGAAGGAGCGGGAGGGGCAGGAGGACCAGGGGAAGGCGGAAGAGGTGGAAGGAGGTGGGCGACACCGATGAGGAAGAAGTCGGGTCAAGAAACGTGGCCCGCGCTGCGGCGAGGGCGCAGTTCTTACCAACGGGAGCAGAGCTGCGATTCTAAGATGAGGCCCACGCTACAGCGGGAGCGTTCGGACGGGGGCAAACGCGGATTCACACGTTGAAGCGTAGTTAGTCTCTCTGCCCCCTCCCTCCGCACAGGAGGGATTTGGAGGATTAGGAGCAGGAGCTAACACGTAAGGAAGACCGATTCGCCCACATCATGCGTGTTAAAACAAATATACGCAGAGGAGGGGCGGACACGGTCAGAACATAGGGAGAGGAGAGCAGTAGTCAGATTGTGTACTTGTAGAGGAGGGAAGGGGGGGAGGGAAGAGGAGAGGAGAGGAGGATGAGGGGAGGAGAGAAGGAGGATGAGAGGAAGGGGGAGAGGAGCGAGGGAGGATGAGGGGTGAAGGGGGAGGGGAGGGGAGGGAGATGAGAGCAGGGAGGGAGAAAGGGAGGCAGGGAGGAAGGTAGGGGAAGAGGGCGGGCGGGCGGGAGGACGACCAGGACCAGCACAAGAACTAGGACAAGGACCAGGACGACGACGAGGAGAAGGAGGGAGGAGGAGCAGGTGGAGCAGGAGGAGTAGGAGGAGTGGAAGGGGGAGAAAGATAGAAACACCAACGGCAGGGAGGGAAGAAGACGCAAATGAGGAGGAGGAGAGGGGAGAAGGGGAAAAGGAAGGATTAAAAAGAAGGAGGAGATAGGGCATGGTGGCATGATGATGGTGATGGCGTTGATGCTGCTGTCGGGGGGACGATGATGATACTGATGAGGATGGTGATGATACTGATGATGATGATGCTGATGATGATGCTGCTGATGATGATGATGCTGATTGTGAGGATAAGTATGATGAGGATGACGATGATGATGATGATGATGATGATGATGATGATGATGATGATGATGCTGACGATGAGGGGGAATGAGGATGATGGTGATGATGGTGTTGCGGATGATGATGATGATGCTGGTGATGGTGATGGTGATGGTGATGGTGACGGTGATGGTGACGGTGACGGTGACGGTGATGGTGATGGTGATGTTGTTGATGGTGATGGTGTTGATGATGCTGATGATGATAATGATGTTGGGAATGAGGATGATGGCGATACTGATGATGGTGGTGCTGCTGCTGCTGCTGCTGCTGATGATGATGATGATGATGATAATGGTGGCAGCGATGGTAATGATGACAATGATGAGGATGATGCTGATGACGACGATGATGACAATGATGCTAGTAATAATGATGGTGGTGATGATGGTGATGCTGATGATTGTGATGATGATGATAATGATGCGGATTACGATAATGATGACGATGAGGAGGAGGAGGAGGAGGAGGAGGAGGAGGAGGAGGAGGAGGAGGAGGAGGAGGAGGAGGGGAGGAGGAGGAGGAGGAGGAGGAGGAGGAGGAGGAGGAGGAGGAGGAGGAGGAGGAGGAGGAGGGGGGGGGGGGGGGGAGGAGGGAGGAGGAGGAGGAGGAGGGAGGAGGGGAGGAGGAGGAGGAGGAGGGGAGGAGGAGGAGGAGGAGGAGGAGGAGGAGGAGGAGGAGGAGGAGGAGGAGGGAGGAGGAGGAGGAGGAGGAGGAGGAGGAGGAGGAGGAGGAGGAGGAGGAGGGAGGAGGAGGAGGAGGAGGAGGAGGAGGAGGAGGGGAGGAGAGGAGGAGGAGGAGGAGGAGGAGGAGGAGGAGGAGGGGGGGGGGGGAGGCGGAGGAGGAGGAGGAGGAGGAGGAGGAGGAGGAGGAGGAGGAGGAGGAGGAGGAGGAGGAGGAGGAGGAGGAGGAGAGGGGAGGAGGAGGGAGGAGGAGAGGAGGGCGGAGGAGGAGGAGGAGGAGGGGGGAGGGGGAGGGAAGAGGAGGAGGAGGAGGAGGAGGAGGAGGAGGAGGGAGTGGAGGCGGAACGGGAGAGGGAGGAGGGGGAGGAGAAGATGGGATAGGGGGGGGAGGGGGGGGGGGGCGCAACAGGAGGTTAACGAGCAGGAGGATGTGGCGGAGGAAGAGGGTATTCGCACGCCACGATAGGGGATACTACAGAGACCGAGAGAAGAGAGAAGAGACAAGTGAGAAAAGAGAGGAGATAAAAGAGAAAAGAGAGAGAGAGAGAGGAGAGAGAAAGAGAAGAGCAGAGATAGAGAGAGAGAGAGAGGGAAATAGAGAGAGAGAGAGAGAGACAAAACGAGCGCCACGAGAGCAGAGCGTTCCTCAAGGAAAATTAAGGGGCAGCGGAGAAGAGGAGGACGCTGGAGACGGAAGAAGAGGAGGAACGGGTGCAAGGTGTAGGAGGGTGAGGCGGTGGAGCGAATATAGCTGGAATAGCAAGAAGAGGCGTCGGATGCGGTCGGTGTAGTCGGCGATATCCGCATGTAGAAGAGCGGATCCATGTGATGACGCCTGGCGAATATGGTTGATTCACATCTTTCGCGTGAAAGGAGTCTCACAGCCAGACACTTCACCTGGAAGACGGGGCTCGCCAATTCGGTGGGCAATGTGTGGATACGTACCCCCAAGAACTGCATGTGACGGGATCTTCGACAAAGGCGACACAAGCAGGAGGAGGAGGAGATAGAGGAGGAGGAGGAGGAGGAGGAGGAGGAGGAGGAGGAGGAGGAGGAGGAGGAGGAGGAGGAGGAGGAGGAGAGAGGGGAGGGAGGAGGAGGAGGAGGAGGAGGAGGAGGAGGAGGAGGAGGAGGAGGGGAAGCCCTCCGCCCCCAGAGGGTCTCATCGCGCATACGCATCATGACCGCCGCTGAATGTATGTTCCGGGGTTCGGGGCCCTTCGGACCCCCCCACCAGATGGGACCGCAGTCTTTCACCTCCGCCCAAGATGGGATGGGGGCAGATGACGTCGGCGACGTTGACGACGACGACGACGACGACGTCGACGACCACAGCGTCGGCGACCACAGCGTCGACGACGGCGACGTCGAAGACGCCGACAACGAAGGCGAAGACGAGGACGAATACGAAGACGAAGACGGTGATGCCGAAGACGACGACGACGACGACGACGACGACGACGACGACGACGACGGCAAGGACGTTGACGTTGACGTCGACGACGACGACGAAGAAGGCGACAACGACAACAACGGCGACAACAACAACGACGACGACGATGGCGACGACGACGACGACGACCACGATGGCACCGCAGCACCACCCAACACCTGTTCGGAACCGCAGCATCACCCCACACCCATCCACAGGGGGAGGGGCCATGCCACTAGCATGGTGGGGTGGACTGGCTCAGACCCTGGACCATAGATATGTGTATATTTAAGGATGTGCGCAGATGTAAATGCATCATTGTCGGGGTATTGCTTATGATTGGCGAGCTGTATGTGAATATCGTGTGCGGATGCACACATAGAGGCGCGTCATAGTACCGGTAACGATCTGGGGCGATTTGGTGTTGTTGTCGGAGGATTGTTGGGGAAATGACCACAGAGACACAGCCATGCCTCGGGCGTGATGCGTGTCGCACAGTAGCTCGGTGAGGACATTGCGAGCGTGCCTGGCGTTAGCTCCTCTGCGTCCTGAGTCTCAGTCGAGAGCTTCGTTCGACAGAAACACAGCAGCTTTTTGCGATACATCTCGTTGTCGTTTGCGATGAACGGCTATCCAGTTGGATCGGATCCCGTTCCCTCCTGCCAGCAAGAATGCGGATGTCCGTCCTGGCTGGCGCCGATACTGCAGCGCTGCGGCGCGACCCTCCGACCCCGCCTGCTCGGACCAAAGTTGGGAGGCCTCTGGAGGCGTCCGATCGCCTCCGCAGCCCTGGAGGCACACGCGGGGACCTGCTGCCTCTCGGCTCACCATCGACGCGCGCCTCTGAAGCAGGACCCGGGCGCCCCAGATGGCACGGCTGACCTAAAGTGGCCCCCGTGTCGCCCCGCCTCTCCTCCTCCTCCTCCTCCTCCTCCTCCTCCTCCTCCTCCTCCTCCTCCTCCTCCTCCTCCTCCTCCTTCCTCGCTCCCTCCTCTCTCCTCCCTCCTCTTCCTCCCCCGTCCTCCCGTCCTCCCCCCCCTCCTCGTTCCTGCCTCCCCCCTCCAGTTCCAGGATTCGGAATCGAACAGGTTCCGGGATTCCGGGGATTCGGTGGGAACGCGCCGAGTTCGATCAGAGAGTCCCGGGTGAGGCCAGAGATTTTGGCGTTCCCAGGAATCCAATTGTTCTTGGACGCCGCCGACGTCGACAAGGCTTGATCCCGCCCGTTGTGGGCGTTTCTTCGGCACCTTCCAGCTTGGCATCGCTTGGCCCGTCCGAGCGACGGCAAGCCAGGAGGTTGGCTCAGTCGCCAGCACCCATGCGCACGGGGCCGTGCTCACAGGACTGACCCAGCGTTTGATCAAGATGCCTGCAGAAAATAGCCCAGAAGCCGAAGCCCAGGGAGTGCAGCGGCCACCGCAGTTGTCCGTGCAGCCCTGGCGCATGCTCTGGGGCTTCGTTCGCCAGGATGACGAGCAGATATAGGCAGCTCCCCATGGGTCAGGTCAGCCGACCGTTTCGTGCTCGTCGCCTCGACTGCCCTGTGCCCTCCGGCCCGGCCGCCCTCTCTCCTCCAGCACCCCGCGCCCCCCCCCTCCGTGCTCAGGCGACGCCCTCCTGGAGCCCTTCTGGCCCACTGGGCTGGGGTGCATCCGCGGGTTCATGAGCGCCCTGGACCGCCGACCGGGGGGGGACACACGCGTGCAGAGGGGGGTAGGGGGAGGGGGGAAGGCCTCTCAGAAGCAACCTTCTTCTTAGAGAGCGGGCCTTATCTATAGATGTAAGGCCTGCGCCTTCTAAGAAGCAGCCTCCTTCCAAGAAGCCTCCCCCCCACACTCCCTGGTGCGCACAGCCAAGGGTGGGGCGCCTGAGCAGCGGGGCCTGCGGCGCGTTCCTCCTCCTCTTCTTCCTCCTCCGCCTCCTCCTCCTCCTCCTCCTCCTCCTCCTCCTCCTCCCCCTCCTCCTCCTGCTCCTCCTCCTCCTCTTTTTCCCCCTCCTCCTCCTCCGCCACCACCTCCTCCTCCTCCTCGTCATCCTCCTCCTCCGCCTCCGCCTCCGCCTCCGCCGCGCTTCCCCAGGCTCCTCTGATCGCCGGCGACTGCTCTCCCCCCATCCCACCGAAAAATAGTACCGTTCAGAAAGTCTGGGGCGGCCAGGAGGAGGGTTTGGCGGCACGCACAAGGGGGTGGAGGAAGGGGAGGGCTTCTTAGAAGGAGGCTGCTTCTTAGAAGGCGACGCCCGTGCCTTCTAAGAAGCAGGGGTGCTTCTAAGAAGCCCTCTCCCCTCCCCCCACCCCCCTCTGCGCGTGGCTGAGGGGTGATGACCAGGGGGGGTCCCCATATTTCATGGCGGCCCTTCTTCTTTCACCACGTCTCCTGGCCCCCAAGTCGATTCTACGTAAGAGTGACCCTTCGCCGGAGTGCCCTTTGGTGCGGGCCCACGGGGACCCCCTGATCGTTGAAAGGGATGCGATGGCAGCGGCTTGCAAGCTTGGTTGTTGCCCCTCTCGCCCCCTTGAAGCCGCGCCCCAAAGGTCACTCTTGCCCAGGGTCACTCTTGCGTGCAGCCGAGACAAGGGGAGGAACTCTGGGATACACCCCAAGGCAGGCTGTTCGGACGCACCACTATCGAGGATGGACGCCCCCCCGTTTTGTGTGATTGTCCCTGGGTTGGGCGCCAAATTCCTGGTCCCGTCGAAAGCCCCCCGGTCGGGGCTTGGGATCGCCACATCCCCCGTGATCCGAGTGTCTGGGGCGTCTGCTCCACCAGGCGCTTCCGCGCCCGTGCGCGGCCTCGCCCCGGTCGGGGTGGGGCCTCTGCCGGGCACGCGTCACACCGCCGGCCGGTGCCGGTGCGGCTGCGGCCGGAAGCCCCCCTCCCCAGGCCACCCCGGGCGAGCTCCCCGCGAGAGTGTCGGGTGGACCCAAAAGGGGGTCCAGCGACACGGGGCAGGTGCAATAGATTTGGTGCAATAGATTTGTGGGGTTGCAGCACATCTGGGGGCTTGCAACACACTCCAGGGCGTAAATGTATTGTTGGACATTCACGTGCAATACATTACCTGCAATACAAGGCAATACAACTCTCCGGCGCAATACGTTTGCAATACAATTGCCCCAAATATATACTGCACCACCCCCTTTCAGCTGGACCCCCTTTTGAGTCACCCAAAGAGTGCCCCCCAGACCTTGATTTCAGATGAGTGCTCCCCTTTCTTCGGCCTCCTGGGAGGCCCTCGTCGCCACGTCTGGATTCGCCTCGAGAGTCTCGTCAGGACACACCCCGGGAGAGGTCCGGCGAGTAGCGGTATCGGCACCGATTGCCGTCGCTTCAATGCTAGGAGTGGCCCCCAGACCCCGATTGCCGTCGCTTCGCTGCAATCTGTAAGATGGCCATGTAAAAAAAATGGGGGAAACGATTAACAAGATAGTTCCCGAGTCCTCGGCTTCCGCTTCGCTGCGGCTCCGTCTGGCCCGTCGGCCGTCCAGGCGCGTGCCAGAGGAGGGCGGCGGGGAACGATTACAGTCAACCCGCATAGTAAGGATGAGCGACTGTCCAAGGTTACCTTTGCATCCTTCCTCTTCGGCCCATCCTTGGCCGCTTGCGCTGGCCGCGCCCCGCTCGCAAAGTGCCGGCATGGCCTTCCAAGGCCTTTGCATTATTATCGTGCGTCCTTATCATACAAGTTGTCTGTCAGAAATAGCTTCTGCTCGGGGCAAACGTTTCCAATCATCATCCCGAGCGCCGCCGCGTGAACACGACCCCTGGTAATTGCTGAAACACCAAGCTGCATAAGGCACGTCAATCAAGAGTTCGACCTGCCATGGGTGCCTCAGGTGTTAGTTCTCCTTTTTTGCCTCGGTCCCAACTGAAGTTCTGGGGCACCCTGCGAAGCTTAAGATCTTCTGTCTGCCGCCGCCCCTCCTAGGACTGCATCTCCAGCTTGCAGCTCTGGTTCTCCACCTACGACCAGGAGCTCGTCGCCAGGCACAGCGAGCAGGCGTACAAGGACGCCAGCCTGGCATGCTGTCCCCGCTGCCGCCCTCCGCAGCGGAGCTCGCTTCGAATCTGAGGGCGAGGTGGGGGACGGGGAGGGGGAGGTGGAGAAGGAGGAGGAGGAGGAAGAGGAGGAGAGGAGGACCCGGCAAGACTATCTATGAGGAGGGGAGGAAGAGGAGGAGAAGGAGGAGGAAGAGGAGGAGTAGGAGGAGGAGTAGGAGGAGGAGGGGAAGAGGAGGAGGAGCAGGAGGAGGAGGAGGACGACGAGGAGGAGGAGGAGGGGATGAGAAGGAGGAGGAGGAGGAGGAGGAGAATCGCTCCAGAGCGTTCCAGAACGGTATGGAGCGGCTGCCGCGCCCGGCATAACCTCCAGGCCCGCCGAGTCTCAGCCATCCCAATTTTTCTCTGTCCGATATGGTATTCTTCCTGCCAACGCCTGAGAAGCGAAAGGGAAGTAGAAGGGGGTCCCTCAGCGGTGAATAGGACTGGTCTTAAAACCTCCTCCTCCTCCTCCTCCTCCTCCTCCTCCTCTCCGCCTCCTCCTCCTCCTCCCCCCCCTCCTCCTCATCCTGCTCCTCCTCCTCCCTCCTCCTCCTCCTCCTCCTCCTCCTCCTCCTCCTCCTCCTCCCTCCTCCTCCTCCTCCTCCTCATCATCATCATCATCATCATCAGCAGCATCAGCATCAGCATCAGCATCATCATCATCATCATCACCACCACCATCATCATCATCATCAGCATCATCATCATCATCAGCATCATCACCATCATCAGCATCACCACCATCGTCACCATCAGCAGCATCATCATCACCATCATCATCCTCGTCATCCTCATCATCATCATCAGCAGCATCATAATCATCGTCATCATCATCATCATCAGCATCATCATCATCCCTCCTCCTCCTCCTCCTCCACCTCCTCCTCTTCCTCCTCAAGCCTCCACTGCTCGAGGTCGGCCGACTGCGTTCGCCTCGCGCCGAGGGCCCGCGCGCGGAACCGATGGATGTGTGCGGCTTGAGGGGCGCCGAGTTTCTAATGCTACGGGCACAGATTCTTGTTTGTTTGCGTGCATGCGAGTGTACATTCCAGGTCATGTGGCGAGCACTGACTTCCTGGATCGGGTGAGCTACAGCAGCTACTACGATGCCGACGTCATCATTTTCTCTGCCAGGGACGCCTCCCAGTTGATGGCTGGGGCAGGCGGCCGTCCTGATCAAGACCCCAGTGGGCTTCCGCAAGGTCCCCTGCCCGCCCGTAGCGCCGTCTGCGCCCCGGGCACCTGGTGGCCCTGCAGAGATGTTGCTGGACAGGCTGGTTCGTCTGCCGCTTCTGCCATCACTCCCGAGGCCTACGGCATGTTGGGCTGGATTTGTGGTTCGTGCCCATCTGCACCACAATGCCCGTATGAAGACGCACCCGCTTTTACAGGGCAAGTTCCCGAAGATGAGGTACTGGGCCGAGTCGAAGAAATACGTGAACAGGAAGAAGTGTAAGAAGTTCGCGGTGAAGCTGGTGACTCGGGACGTCACGTTGAGCCTTGCAAGGACGCCGCCGTCGATTCGGACACTGCCGCCCCCATGAGTCTTCAAGGTGGTGGACCCGTACTTCAAGCCCGCCCTGCTGACGTCGTTCGCCAACGTTGGGCAGGCCGAGGACGCCGCTGCGAAGATCGCGACCTCCGCCACCACCGCCGAGGCGTACTACATAGGTGACACTCCTGGTCACCATGGTCGCTCTCCGGAGGAGGTTAAGGCGCGGGAGAGGCTCAACAGGGAGAAGAAGAAGGAGAAGAAGCAGTTGAAGAAGGATACGAGGCCCGTTTGGGGAGGTTCCGACGACACCGGTGTCTCGCAGGATAGTTTGGTGAGCGCCGGGGGGTCCCTCGAATGCGCGGGCCGTGTTTCTCATGATGAAGATGGAGGGCCTGACGTTCCCGCTGACTGTGGCGCGCCGGTGGCCTCTATCTCGGATTGTCGGGATCGCGGAGTGGATGAAGCAGCCGTTCCTGAATGCGTGAGTGCACGTGTTGTTCATGATGGCGGGGATTGCGCTACCTCCGGCAGGTAGTCGCGGGACGACCTGGACTTCCTCGGGCTTGACCATTTGGAGTCGCCGCGGAAGTTGGGACGCTTGCGGGATTAGCTTGCTGGCGATGTTTTGCTTCACCCGAGGTGGATTTCTGCGGCTTCGTAGTGCACCTGCTGTCGCAGGCCGGTGTGTTACGACGTTTCGGCGCCTTTGGCGTTCCATCCCCCTGATGCTCATCTTCCAGGTGCGGGATCGTTACGGCACTGCGCATGCCAACTTCGTCGTCGAGTCAGGTGCCAATGACATATTGTGCTAGGCGCGGTTCACGGATTCGGCTTCTTCATTGGCGTTTTTGGTGATGATCGCGCCGTTTCGGCTCAACCACCCCTGCTCTCATTTTTTTTCGGCGCCGGTTAGTTTCTCATGAACTTCCTTTGCAAATAGAGGCCCGTGCCCCCGTCTTGTTCAGCCTGTTGCTGCGTCCCCGCGAGAGCCGTATCAGCAGTGGCCCACAGAGAAGGGAAAATTCGGATCCTTCTCCTTCTCCTCCTCCTCCTGCTCCTCCTCTGGCGGGTGCCACCTCAGTCCTTCAATAAGGCCGCCGAAAAATAATTTGTTACCCCCGATTGGGAAGTTCTAAAGACCTTTCAGGGTTATATGGTGCACTGGCGCGTCAAGACTGCCTACCAGCCCCTTTTGGCCCTGGTGCTGGCCGTGGCGGACCTTTTTTCCGCCTGCAGGCGCTCACCCCCCGCCGTAGGGTGCCTCGCTAAATGTGGCGGACAGAGCGTGGAGCTCAAAAAAACCCAGCTTGGGTGCGCCACACGCTATCCATCCATAGCTGGACCGATGCCCAAGGACTGGGTCATTCAGATGAGCCCCGCGTTGGTTCGGATGTACTTGGCGATGGGCGGCACCCCGAAGCCAGGGCCACCACCGCCCAACACGGGGGAACGCAAAATCCACACCAGCCTCGATACGATGCTGCGCACAGCGGGGACGAAGTGTAGCCCGCCATTGGGCTGATCAAATGTGAAAGAGACGAACTACGACTACAAGGCAGCTGGGCCTCGCCAGGTAGCCAAGACGCCCCAAGGAAGCCCATGAGGTGAGCTTTTGGTCGAGGGCCGTGCTGCTAAGCAACAGATTGTGCACACCACACGCACTCTCGTTCGCTCCATATGCGCGTGGTGTCGCAATCCCTGCCTGCCCTCTGCGCTGCGTGCTTGCGTCCTCGTGGCCTCTCGTCTCTCCCGCTGCTCGGGTCTTCTCCTGGCTCCGTGGCCTCCCTCGCTGCTGTGTTCGCTCCCTTCGGTGCCGCTCCTGTTGCTCCCTTTCTGGCTGTCGCCGTCGTGTGCTGGGCTGCAACACTAGCAGCTCAGAAAGACAACGATTGGGTTTGGAGGGTGGGGCTGGGAGAAATGATCAGATCATCCACATGACCGCGTGTGTTGAGAGGGCTCGCTACACAGTCGTGCCCTGCATCTTCCCAGCCCCTTCCTCCCAACACGATACTTGCCCTTCTGGTGGCAGCGGGTGTCCCTTCGTCGCGGGAGGGGCCGCACTGGCGAGTGCTGTTCTGGCGAGCGACAGCGCGCACGCCACCACAGGCTGCACCACGCACGAGGTGGATGGGCGCGTCAGCCCAGGACGGCCCTTGGGCCCGTCCCCTTCCCGCTTCGCTCCTCCATGGCCCCCGTCGCGTCGTTGTTTTGTTTTTTGTGTAGAAAACAGGAGGAGAAGAAGGAAAGAAGAAGAGGAATAACAACAAGAAAAAGAAAAACAGGTCGAGGGTGGGCCCCCTGCCTCCCATTCCCGTCGCTTTCGAAAGGAGCGCTTCCGCGGGACTAAGGGCGCACGCGGGTGGGTCGCGGTTCGCTCTACGCGCGAGCCGGGAATGCGGGCGCATGACAGGAGGGAGCCAATTGATTGGTCTAAGAGACACTGGAAATTGGTCCCTTGCCTCCCACTCTTGTCGTTTTCCAACGGAGCGCTTCCGAAAGGACCGCGCCACCAGTTAAGGGGTGGGGGGGAAGTTTTTTTGCGGCGGCTGGGTACCTCCTCCCTGACTTTCCAGAATGCTGGCGCTCCATATCTTTAGAGTTATTCGGACCGCTCAGAACCTCGACTCGGATTGAGATGTCGAGGTCCTGGAGAGATATTTTGCCTCACTAGACGGTCAGGGTTCAGAGCCATAGGACTGTCACAAAACGACTATGGACAAAAAGCCTGTCCGCGGCACGACGTCGAGGGTCCGGGCTCCTCATCCGCTGTGCGCCAGCATTTCGACAACGTGCGGTCTGCCCCTTATGTCTGGCGTCCTCGCGTCTTCTCCCGAGCTTGGCATCGAATTTGAGTGCGGGGTCCTGTAGATTTGCCGTGGTCGCACGCGCTGCGCAGAAGCTGCATGTTGCTGGCATTCCGGCCAAGTGTTGCCTTATTGGGTATTTTCGGGTGGGGGGCATCATCTCGATTTTCGATATCTCGGGCGAGAGTCAGCACTCCGAACCAAATTTTGTCTACACACCGAGAGAGTAGGATCAGATGGCGAGTGTGATTGACCTCCTCTTGCTAATAAAATCCGATCGGTTGCCATGTTCAGCTCAGTTTCTAAATGGTATGTATGGAGACCCGTATACATTCCCGAGCGCAGTATACGCGACGCTGCGTACGTAGCCTTTCGAGTTTTTTGATTATGTTATATGTGTATTGTTCCACGCCGTGCTTCTTCCGAACCTCATCATCATCATCGTCATGACGATCTGGCAAGCACCGTCATCATAGTCATCAACAGCATCAGCATAATCAGTGTCAGCAGCATCATCATCATTATCAGCATCATCATCATCAGCAGCATCAGCATCATCATCATCATCATCATCATCATCATCATCATCATCAGTTTCATCATCACCATTACCATCAACAGCATCATCATCGGTATGTTCATCATGAATTGCATCCGCACCTTGATCAGCATCACCACCAACAGGGTCAGCATCGTTCTCATGGCAGCACGATTTATCATCATCACAGCAGTACCATTTGCAATCATCAAAGCCCAGCATCATCACCCTCATCATCCTCAACATCATCATCAGCATCACCATCATCATCACCTCATTATCCCCTCCCCCACCATGGCGCTTGACTTCTCTGACAGCTTTCGTAAGCTCAGTGCGTCGTACCAGATGGCCGATCATCGGGACCCTGCTGAAGTGGTGCCCTTTCGCGTTCGTCGTACGCTTTCTTCTTAGCACCGTCTGCTGTTCTTCAAGATGGGCAAAGTTCGTCATGCCGTCGAGGAAGAACTGAGCAAGCAGGGCCTTCAGGCCTTCAGGCTAATTCAACTTCGCCGCCGATTCGTGCCCAGCGTTGGCAAAACATGCGGTTGAGGCAGAGGGTTGCGCCTCTGTCAATAGTCCTTCCAGTAGGTCGTATTCGGATTCGGGTGAGTCCAGCTCGATCCGACACGATGGCGGGGGCGCGCCATTTGAAATATCTCTTCCCGTCCCTCGTCCGCTTTCTGCCTCTCTCTCCGCTTTTACCTGAAGCACCAGTGGACTCTTCGCTGCCATCACCTCTTTCTGTCTGCGTGCCTCTCGGCGTTACCAGGAGACCTTGGCAGACTCTCGTTGAGCTAACGCTCTCTTCCTGCAAGGAACTCGTGGGACTGCTGGTAATGCGGGCGCATTGCGCCACGACCTTCGTGGAGTGAGTCTTGGGTTCCCTGAGTCTGTCATTGAAATAACTGGTGGAGGCCTGACTGTCTGGTCCGGTTCTCTCTGCTCCATGTCCACTGACGTTCGGCATTGTGTTAACCCTGGAAGAATGTTCCTATCGAGTTGTACTGGTCTGCATGGGCCTCTCTGGATGCTCCATGTTCATCTCCCCACCACTTGCGAGCCCACATGGGCTTTCTGTCGATCTGCACGGCATGTCAAAAAGACGATCGAAGGTGCTGGGAATGCCTTGGTTCTGATTGGGAGTGACTTCAACTGTGCTTTGGAGGAAGACGGGAGGCAGTGCGGCGACGGCTCTTGGTGGCGTCCGGGGGAGCGGTACTGGCGCGACCTGTTTGTTTGGGAATTTGTTCGTTGGACGGAAAGATTCAATCTAATCCGACTCGCCGAGAGATACACATTGGGGCGCTGTCGCTCGCGAGCCGCCTGGACAGCCTTTATCTCGCCAATCCTGGTGTCCTCTCCGAGTTTTCTGTCACATGCTTCTTTTAGGAAGGCCAATCGTTTTGGGGACGTGTCTGACTATATTAAGGTGGTTGTTTCGTCCCGTAAGCACGGGTCAGCAGAGTTTCCGAGGGTCCCTCCCTGAATTGGTTCGCATCCGATAGTACATGCAGAGATTGCTCAATGATTTTGACAGATCAGTTCTCCTGGCCGATCAGCTCGCTCTGGTGGAGATGCATGTGGGAAGCCTGTGCGCAAACTCAGAATCGGATGGCAAACGCGTTGGCGACCAACGACGTTGATGAGAATATTCGCGATGCTCTTGCGCGCTTGCGGCATTGGGGGTTGGAGCGCGCTCGGAATATCGATGCGGTCCCCCGTGCTGTCCGCTGCTAATATTTGCTCGCTCGCTTCTTTGATATCGACGCTGGCATTTCTCATTATTCCCCGAACTTCTGTGACGACATTCAGTCCCTGCAGCTAGATGAGCCAGGAAACAGATCAGGAGTCCGAGGCTGCAGCGAGGGCCAAACTTTGATCCAGGATCCAGAGGCGAAGAGAGCTGTGGGGTCCATTGAACAAGCGGACCTCATTGGGCTCGATTCTGGACTCTTCAGGGGCCCCCACACGCGTCCCCGGGTGACTGCGGGGAGGCGCTTGCGCGGAGGAGGAGGAGGAGGAGGAGGCAGGAGCAGGAGCAGGAACAGGAGCAGGCGGAGAGGAGGAGGAGGAGGAGGAGGAGGAGGAGGAGGAGGAGGAGGACGAGGGGGAGGAAGAGGGGGGGGAATCGGGGCCGACGCCCTCCACGCCGCCTGCCGCCGGGACCTCCCCGCCCCCCCCGCGTGCGGCGGCCCCGCCTCCCCCAGCTGCTGAAGTCCGTCGAGGGCCAGACGAAAGACAAGTCGCTACGGCCAGACAAGGACTGCCACGCGGGGGCCGGCGCTCAAGAGACGGAGGAGTGCAAACGGGGGCCAGTCAGGGCGACGGACCTTGCAGGATCCTGCAGGGCCAGGGGTACAGTGACCTGGGCTTGGGCGCAGGATCTTGCGGGGTCCTGCAGGATCTTGCAGGATCCTGCAAGGCCTGACTGACCCGGGTCTGGATTCACCCGGGTCTGTAGATCCCCGAGGGGGGGGTCCCCAGACCCCCTCGGGTCATGAAATCATGACGGGAGGCTTTTGTGCGACGTACGGCCTCCATGGGGCCCCTTCCCAGGCCTCGGGGGCTCTCAAAGAGCGGCTCGGTGTGGGATGCCGGTCTTGGGGAATGGGCCGCGACTTGCGGGGGTCGACGCCAAGAAGAGGTGCTGGCGTGGGGGGTCTGGGTCGGGGGGTCTGGCGTGGGGGGTTTGGCAGGCTCGCCCCAGGAGGCGGTCGCCCACCTCCCCCTTGGCCGACCCGGGTGCGGCAGCCTTTTGAAGGCGAGTCCTCCACCTCCCCTCCCTCGGCTGGCCCTGGCCTGGGAGCTCCATGGGGCGTTCCAAAAAAGGCTTTGCCTTCGAGGAGCTGCAATCTCTTCCTCGGAGGAAGGCGGCAGGTCGGCGGTAGTGAAACGAGGCCGCCTCCTCCAGTGGAGGCCGGCGGAAGGCGGCGGAGGTAAGAAATGCGCCCCAAAGAGATGACAAGGTTTGGGGGGGTCAGGGTTTTCGGAATCGCCCACATCGTGGCCAGCCCCAGGTGCGCGGCCGGGCCCTGGCTGACCTGGGTGAACACTGGCCCAGGTCCTCGGCATCACTCGGACGTGTGCCTTCGTCTCGGCGAGGACCGTCGAGGAGCATCCTGCATTCTCTTGCGAATAACCAAATGCAGGAAACCGAGAAAGACAGAGGGAATAGACGTCCGAGCGACGGCAATGGTCAGCGCGTCCCTGAACTGAGGAGGAGGAGGAGGAGGAGGAGGAGGAGGAAAAGGAAAAGGATGAGGAAAGCTGCTGGGGAGAGGGGGGATGAGCGTTCCGCCAGCGCTCCCAGGGCGTCGGGTCAGTGGCGCCCCGCCCCCCCTGGCGATCCTACTTCTTCGCTGCTGATCGTACAGTGCCGTTTTTTATACATGCTCCGCGTGCGGATCATGTATTAAAAATGCAGGGATTTAGTATTAAGAACAACGATGAGCTCATGCATAAAATTATTCATAAATTAACCATGCATTAAAATCTTACGTTTTTTAGTAAAAAAATCTTACGTATTAAAAATTGCCCTGTGCGAGGAGGGAGGACGGGGGGGATGGCGGGGGGTGCTGCCACCTCGACCCCCTCCTGGAAGGCCGCGGGCGTCGCAGCTGGGAAGCGACAGCGGATTCGCCAGCGCGTGCGCAGCAGCAGGAGGAGGAGGAGGAGGAGGAGGAGGAGGAGGAGGGTGGTGACGTGGACGATCTCGCCTTCTGTCTTCTGGCTTCGGGGGGGGTATCTCTGGGGCCGGGCACCATCGCCTCGGCCAGGCTCGCTTCGAAATGTTGGTCGGAATGCGCTCTGGGAAAGGTATGGGGACGATTTTCAGGGTTGGGGGGGAAGGCCTGGACGTCATTACAGTGCCATCATGTCCAGACCAGTGGTGAATCCGTTGGCCCCACTGGGGGCGGGTAACAGGTGGCGGCAGGCACCGCACTGCCGCGAGATCCTCCGTGATGAGGTCTTGCGCTTGCTGGGTCCCTCTCTCAGCCCCGCCTGGTACTAGTACGCGACCCCTGCGGCCCCGTTCCCGATGAGGCTCTAGAGCTGACCCTGGACGGACCAGCGCAGCGCCCGCCGCCAGCTCGGCCGCCTCAACCTCGGTGTCGGCCCATCGGCCCGTCAGGCGGGCCCAGGCGCGCTCGGCCCCCGCCTTGCACTTGGCCGCCTCGCGGCGCACTGGGCCGCCAGGCCCGCGCCCGCGCCTTGCGGCTGCGGCCCTGCGGTCGGCCTCTTCTTGCCGATCGGCCACTGCACGGCAGCCCGCCGCCCCACGGCGCCTGACCTCCGCCGCGGCAACCGCCTCTGCCTCCGCGCGGCGCTCGGCCTGCGCCCCGAGCTCGGCCTCCGCGCGGGCTACTGCTTCGGCCTGGGCCACGCGCGCGGCCCCAGCCTTGCGCAATGCCGCCCTGGCCCGCCTGCCCAGCCGACGAGGGGGCGCCGTGCTCCCGGCCACCGCCGCATCGCGCAGCACGAGCTCGGTCGGGTGGATCGTCGTGCCCGTCTCCGCGTCAGCAGCCTCAGTGGGGGGATCGTGAACATTGGCCCCGTCACTCGGTACAGACTCGATTAGCTGGATGTCCCAGCTCACCTCCGCGCCGTCGATTTTCAGAGTCATCTCCGTGACATCCACGGAGGCCATCTCCAGCTACACCTCAGGCGCCTCGCCAGCCTCTGCGGGGAGCCCATCGCCGCAGGCCGCGTTGGGCAGTACGAACTCGACTGGCTGGCCCTTCGATGGGGGAGTTGTGAACACTGCCCCCGTCGCCAGGCAAGGACTCGATCTGCTGGATCTTCGTGCTCACATCAGCGCCGCCCACGGTCGCCACAATCAGTTTCGCCGCAGTTGTCTCGCACTGTGCTCACCTCCGCACCGTTCGCGGTGGCCATCTTAAGCGTCGCCTCGGACTCCGCGCAAGCCTCGGAGGGGATCTCGTCGTCACAGGCCAGTTCGCACGGCACGCGCTCGATCAATTGGATGCCCGTGTTCACCTCCGCACCGTTCGCTGCGGCCTCCAAAAAGTCCTGCATGGGCAGGGGCTCGAGCAGTTGGGTCTCGCCCACCTCCGAAGGGCACTCGTTGCCGCAGGTCGCGTCATTCGGCACAACGCGACCTGGGCAGCGCTAAGTTATCAACGACAGCGGTATTCGAGATGGCCGTGCCGGCGCAGGCAAACAGCGCGATTATCTCAACGCCGTTGCCCATTAAGCAAACTTGAAAACAGCTTCTTCTGGGATGGTGACAAAAACAGCAGGGTACCTCTCCAGCAGGAGGAGGTCGTCGAGCGTGCACGCCCAGCAGCGAGCACGGTTTGAGTAGTCGTGCTCACGGCCACGATATTCGCGGTGGCCAGCACCATCTCCACCGCGGGCGCATCGGCAGCATCGGCGGGGACCTGGCCGCCGCTGCTGGCGCGTCGCTCCTCGCGCAATCGTCGGCCGAAGCCCACTCTGGGCGCCATCCAGCGCGCGCGCGGCGCCGGAGCCTGGGGAAACCAAAAGGCACCGATACCGCTACTTCCTGGACCTCTCCCAGGGTGCGTTCTGACCCGAACTTCGAGGCGAGTCCAGCGGTGGCGACTAGAGCCTTCCAGGAGGCCCCCAAAGGCGAAAGCGGGCGCAGGGTAGCGGTATGGGCACCGCTTCCGCCTCTGAGAGCCACTGCCGCGCCCGCGGTGGCGGCCGCCGTGGGCATCGCGGCACCTGCCTGCACGGCCGCGCGGGCCGCCCCCGCCACGAGGCGCGCGGCGTTCCGCGGCTGCGAGAGCACGGGCCGCGCGGCCGCCCGCACGCGGCCCCCTTCACGCAGGCGAGGCCTGCCGCGCCACCCCACGAGGCCCCGGAAGGGGGAGAGACGCGGGGCCCAGGCCCAAATGGTTGCGGAGGCCTCGGAGGGGAGGAGGCTCTCCTCCTCTTCATCCTCTTCCGCCTCCTCCTCCTCCTCCTCCTTCTCCTCCTCTTTGATCCTCCTCCTCCGCCGCCTCCTCCTCCTCCTCCTCCGCCTCCTCCTCCTCCTCCTCCTCCTCCTCCTCCTCCTCCCCCTCCTCCGCCCCTACAGTGTGGACTCATGCCAAGAAACACCCTGCTTGCCTTCAGGGTGTCCTGGGTTTCTTGGCTTTCGATGGTTCTGCTGGAGAAGGCGCGACTTTCCCACGCCAGGAATCCATGGACGGGCTAGGTTCTTAGGATTGGGTTTCTTGTGAAAGTCATCTTGTGGTCGAGCTCCTGCTGCGGACACAAATGGCTGCTGACGCCTCGGAGGCGTGGGAGGGAGATGGGCGGGGAGGAGCAGCAGCTGGACGAGGAAGGGGAGGAGGAGTGCTGCGTGCCAGCGGCGCTCATGTGGAGCATCTGGGTTGCTCCCTTGCTGCGGTGCGGGGCGTTCTTCAGCCCAGGAGGCTTCAGACTCTGGAGGATTCCTTAATATGGTAATGAAGGGCGGCGGTGGTGTCCATGGCCGATCCACGATCTGGGTTCCACTGGCTTCCGGGCCCTGGATTCCTCATCTCAGGGTTCTTGATCCAATGCCTTCACCGTGTGCAGAATTCCCTTTGCAAGAGGACGCGAAGCAGGAGGAGGAGGAGAAGGAGGAGCTGGAGTAGAAGGAGGAGGAGGAAGAGGAGCTAGAGCTGGATGAACACAAGGAGTTAAGTTTCATTTCCGCCCCAGATCCTGACCCCTCGAGTTCCCCAGAGGCCCCCAGAGGCTTCCGGAGGCCTTCGGAGGCTCCAAAATGACGAAGAACTTCATAGAAATTCCTAACAAAAAAAAAAAACCTTTCTACAATCATGGCCCTTCGATCCTCGAGAGCCGAAGTCAAAACGCCAAAACCGCTCAATATGTGTCCCTGGACCCCACACGGGGTTCCGTCTGACCAGTCTTTCGAGCCGCGTCCAGCCGTGGCGACAACAACTGTCAGATAGTGCATGTGTCACGTGCGTATATGCACCACTCGCTGCCGTTTGACCTCTAGGGGCCCCTTTTTGCCATTGCGCTAAAACGCATCATAATCACACTGGTAGCGGAGCTACCACACGATCCCCGTATCGTACCAGTGCGCGCACGTCTCTTCAGAGAGTGTCGCACTACCTCTCTTTATTTTCTGTACTGGCAGTTTCCCTCGCGGGGACTGAGCCTTGCGCCATGGCACTTCTTTATTTTCGCTATCGGCCGAGCGCCGACGCGCTGGCGCGGTCCGAGACGAAGAGTGGCTCCTACATATATGACGGCACTGTGAACTATTTTCAAGAGTGGG